AATCATCTCCGGGCGCAGATCAGCAGGAAACCACGTCGGGTTTAACTCCTGTCGGCCAACAACAGAAATCTGAGGCTGTTATTGTTCAGTTGAAAACTGAAAAACGCATGAATCTGGATTTCTGCTCAGGCTGCAGATGGTAGAGTCAGAATTTGGCGTCAGGAGCAGGAATCCATGGACCCAACCTGCCTTGTGCAGTCCAGCCTGGTGCTGGTGGGACATTTTCTTGGCACTCTCCTTATTACCAGCAAATGATGGTTTGAATGCCACAGCCTGTCTGAGTATTGTTGTGTGGATACTTCCAGCATGATAATGCACCAAGTTTAAAAGCTGTCTCAACCGACTTTTCTGATAATGACTTGCCGACAGAAAACTACAGAGGCAGAGAGAGCAGACGCACTGCCAAGAAAGAAAACACGTGCAAGTAGAAAAAACCCAGAGGCTGTGCTGCCGGTGCATTCAGAGAGGAGGCCCACAGTGACGGTGTCCTACAGGTGTCCCTCCTCCTCCTGCGCAGTATCAGTCCTCTGCAGACGTCTGTTATCGGAGCAGCGACGCTCCACCCACCACCGGGGATCCCCTTATCACCTCACACACACACAACCCCAACAGAGCCACAGCACAACACACTCTTACAGCGCACAAAACCCGTATCCACGGACTGTCGGCTGTGAGGCACTAATCGTGTCCGAGGACTGACGGCCCGACTTAGCTGCCAAACACAAACTTCAGCAGTTTAAGAGCTTGAGCTGAGACATTTACTCCGTTTGAAGCTATACTGTGTATAAAGACAGGCCTCCTGCTTACAGACAGTCCTGTGACACAGAGGTTACGGGTTTCGCCCGCCTGCCACAGCAACTGTGAGTCTGTCAATGGAGAAGTATCCTCTCGTGGTGTCCTTGACCGAGAGGCAGAACTCACAGCAGGTCACCCTGACGGCTCCGCGTCACGACAGCCAGGACTAAACTCCAAACAAGAAGCTGTCACTGGTGTAAAGCTCTGATCGAGGGGCTCGTTGAGCTGTTGAACACTTCACTGATTCAGACCTCGGAAACAAAAGGCTGCAGAAACTACACTGTTCTCATGTACATACTATTTTCACTATTATCTCATGTTTCGATTATTTTAAACCTGCTCATATCAGAGACTGTGTATAAATATGGTCGACGCAGCTCCACTTTCTATATATTAAAACAAAAAATACTGCATTTCTATATAATACTGCACATAAGTTTTTTTTTCAAAATACAATCTATATTGCCGCCAGCCACCAGGGGGCAATCCAGAGGAAGCTGTCTGCAGCTAATGACCAAGTTATGTACGATGCAATTCACTAATTAGCACTAAACATTAGCCGAGGATGACGGGGTCATCGTTGATTGACTTACTATTTGATAAGAGCCACCACTTGACCTGATGGTGGCGCTAGATGAAAAGTCAAGACGATGAACAATGAGGATGTTTTAGGAGTTAAATCATTGAAGTCTGATATTATCCATTCATAAGATGTTCACACATTAAATCAAAGATGCAACGTGGACCGAACGAGGCGAAAAAAACAAAAAGAAAAAAGTCAAAGTTTTAAATTTTTTTCGAACCCACAGGTCTCATGGGAACAACGATAACACACATAAATTACTGAAACAATGAATTACTCATGAAAACTGTTGCAGATTAATTCTCTGGAAGTGTTGTACTTGACTGATGGATAAAAAATTGTTTGGCAAAGTTAATTTAACAGAATTGATGTACTTTCATTATAAGCCATTATTGTTACCATGGTGATGCCTGATGATATATTACCTCCAATGATGAGACAAATCTACTTTTTGACACCGCTTGCGTCTCTTTCCATCACCTGCAGTCTGAAGTCGTCAGCACATGCTTCAGTAAATACAAATATTTTTATAGCTGCACCGGATCATTTCTCAGGAGTTGTGAAATGGCGGCTGATGGAAACGGCCTCTGGGTTTTCTCCACATGTCGCTTTATAAACCACATTACGTTTCTTTCTGCTGGAAATTACAGCGATGCCTCGAGGGGGTTTTACTTTGGACGCAGTTAATTTCCTTTGAATGTTTAAAAAAAAAGGTGTTAATGAAATTTTTACTTAAAGTTTGCTGAGAGGAAATTCTCTAAAAGTAAAAACACAACTCATTGTTTATTATAATTGAAAAGAACTTCGATGGTGACCTTTCCTGCTTGTGGATTTAATAGATGCTTTGTTGTTACTGCAAAACTATGTGATGAAGAAATATGTGAAATGTAAGAAACAAATCAACACCCGAGATGAATAATAACCCTGGAAACATGGGGCGGATCGAAGTACTGAAGCAGGAATTGAACCTGGATGTTGGACATTAAATTGCCCCCCCCCGTATAAACTGTGGCCCCTTCAAATCCTAGAACCGCCACTACCTGGAAACCATGCTCCCAGCTGAAGGTGTGTTGATGCCTGCATAGAGCACTTTCTGCAGAGCAACACATTAGCTGCATCACAGTGAACACATTATGGTGAGCAGCACAGTCAGATGGATGAAATAAGAGATGAGTGTAGTCAGTGTGAGTGAGTGAGTGAGTGTGTGTGTGTGTGTGTGTGTGTGTGTGTGTGTGTGTGTGTGTGTGTGTGTGTGTG